CCCAGGAGCCAATCAGAGGCCCGTGTGGTCAGTGCTAATCCCGCCTTGTCGCCTGCAGGTCCCTAGGCCTGGCCTATCGGAGGCGCGTTCCCTGCTCCTGTTCTCCGCTGCTCTGGCTCGTGCCACCGCCCTGGGCTGCGCTGGGTTGGTGGCCCGCGCCGGCCATCCCGCTCCGGTCTGGCGTCACTCAGGAGCCACCTTCACCCCCTGAACCCTAGAACCCCTAGAGCCTGTGTACTCGGGTCCCGTTGGATGGTTGGCGCTCCGGGCAAGGCTCGGAACCCGGTCTCTCCGTCTGCTGGGTGACACCACCAGCGGAGTTCGCACCTGCTCCAGTCCTGTGATCCGGGCCCGCCCCCTGGCGGCCGGGGAGGAAGGAGCCAGGTCTGCGGACGGCGGCGGGGCTCGTGGAGGGCGAGTAGTCGGGAATGCTGCTGCTGGGGGAATGTGGACCACTTCTTTCCTCAGGTCGGGCAGAGGCCCCGGCGTGGATGGGCAACCTGCAGCCCCGAGAAGGCGGCAGGCTGGGGCGCGGCCATCCGTCTTTCCCCTGCACGCACCCACGCACTTGGGCTCCCAAAACACAAATCCTTGTGCATGAGGCCCTCCTCCGGGGAACGTCCTGTTCCCGCGCCGAATGTCCAGCGCGACTTCTGCCCATCTCTCGAAAACCTTCTGCTTTTGCCAGCCCCGCTTTTTCGGGGACTCCCTCGCCTTCCTCCTCACGTGTGCTGCTCTCGGAGCCACAGCCGGCTCCGCCGCTCTCGGCGGTTTGGCTATTTATTGACATTGTCCTCCGGCCCGCCGAACAGGACCCCTGCACCTTAATCCACGTTTTGGATGCACTGAGACCCCGACATTCCTCAGTATTTATTGTCTGTCCCCACCCAGGACCCCACCCCCGTCCCTCGCGAATTAAAGGTCCTCTCGTCTGCCCAAAGCCCAGGGCTCCGCCGCGTCTTTGCTGTCTTCTCAGTTGGGCCAGAGGCTATTCAGTGGGCCAATCAGAAGACGAGTGGAAGCGGCCAATGGCTTGGCGGAGAGCTAGCGGGATGCAAAGGGGACGAATCAGCACTAGAGACAGCAAAGTGAGGGGTGGGGCTCTGGCAATCGGCCAGTAGGATAGGGCGAGCGGGCCACTCGGAGGCACCGCCCTCCGCCCAGCTGTAGCCCAGCTGGGCCACACGAGCTTCGAGAAAAAGGGGGGCGGGCCGGAGGCCCGCCCGCCCATCCTCTTTCCACTGCGCCTGCGCAGGCCACGCGCATCCGCTCCAGCGACTGAAGCTTAAGAAAAGTTGTTGCTAAATTTCTAGCCGGTTTCCCCCGCCCCTCCTTCCAGCCAGACCCGCCCCCCTGCGGAGCCGGGAATTCCGAGGGGCGGAGCGCAGGCCGAGATGGGGAGCGAAGGGGGGTGTCTCCAGAGGACCCTGGAGACCGAAGCGTGCAGAAGCTCAGTCCCGGGGCGGTGGTGGCTTCGCGCCCTTAGCACTCCTGGACGGCCCGTTACCTTCTCCGTTGTCCCGATGGGGAAACTGAGACCCTGAGCCAGAGGCACACGCTGGGGGAGGCAGAAAGCGCGGCCAAGGCGGAGGGAAAACAAAGGGACAATCACGAACAGACGGGGAGGGGGACGGACACACACAGGCAGAGGGACAGAAACCCAAGTGGAGAGCTGAGTGGCATTCGGGGCCTGAGGGCCTCGCGGTCTGCCGGGGAGAAGATCGAGAAGGGCGAGGGGGGATTAAGGGGAGACAGGCGGGAAGGGGGCTGGGGAAAGCCCGAGGGAGGAGGAGAAGGAGGGAGGAACTTCCCAAAGTTGCAAAAACATGGCTACCTTGCCTGCGGAGCCGAGCGCGGGGCCGGCGGCCGGGGGGGAGGCGGTGGCGGCGGCGGCGACCGAAGAGGAGGAGGAGGAAGCGCGCCAGCTCCTGCAGACTTTGCAGGCGGCCGAGGGTGAGGCGGCGGAGGGCGCCGGGGCCGGGGGGGGGGCAGGGGGGCC